GTTTTAATGGCAAAATTTAATGGATCGGATGCTAAATAATTTTTCGACTAAATATTGCGCGATTAAGCTCCAAAATTTACATTTCGGGCGAAGCAATCGGTCAATCGTTTACATCTTCCGGACATTGAATTCGCTTTAATTAATAATTCATTTGCCTGCTGCGAAATGAGTTTCGTGGATGGAAAATGTTGTGGAAGTATTTTCGAAAGGCAAATGTAATCATTTTTAGATTTTGGGTAGGTTAGGTTGGGAATTTTAGGCTAGGTTAGTATTTGGATTAGGTTAGTATTTGATAAATTATAAATTTGGGGTATTTTAGGTTAGGGATTTTGGGTGAGGTTAGTATTTGCTAAATTCCAAATTTGAGATATTTTAGGTTAGGTTAGTATTTGATGTATTTCACATTTTAGATATTTTAGGTTAGGAATTTTGGATCAAATTAGAATTTGATGAATTCTAGATTTTAAATATTTTAGGTTAGGAATTTTAGGTTAGGTTAGTACTTGATAAATTCTAGATTTGAGATATTTTAGGTTAGGTTAGTATTCGATGTATTCTACATTTTAGATATTTTAGGTTAGGATTTTTTTCTTGGATTAGCATTTGATGTTTTCTAGATTTTAAATATTTTAAGTTAGGAAGTTTAGGTTAGGTTAGTACTTGATAAATTCTAGATGTCAGCATATATTAGGAATTTCAGATTAAGTTAGTATTTGATGAACTCTGAATTTCTTATATTTCAGGTTACGAATTTTAGTTTACATTAATATTTAACAATTTGCAAATATTTCTAATACAAACATTTGTCAATTTAACCAATAGAAAAGTTATAAATATAACAACATAAAAATTTGAAAATATAAAAGCTGAAAAGATAAACAATTTAAAAATTTAACAAATTGTGAATGTAAAAATTTCATAATTTACAAAGGTAACAAATTAGTACGTTCAATAAATTTGCAAGAATTATTTGATTCCCCGATAAAAGGCCGTCGATAAATTACGTTCGACATCATAGAATTCTTTCATCGGCTATTTTCGAGATCTGCTACGAGCTGGTTCAAGCTATTTTCAATCGAATCGACGATATCGAGGCGAAATCCTGATGCTAAGAACGAAGGATCAAAAGGAGGACTAGCGTTGCACAGCGTGCTTTTTCTCCTTTGAACTGTCGCAAATGTTTTCTCCGAATTGAACCTATTTTCCTTCACATCGTCAAGGAAAATGTGTACGCGTGCAGAGATATCTTTCTGATCGATACTTACACGGAATCAAATTTTAATCCTCTCCAAATCGATTAAACATGACATAACCTTTATACCAAATAATTTTTTAAAAACTGCATAACACTCGAACTTTTATAATCATTAAATATTTTCACTTTCATAAAATCGATTGTATTTTATTAAAATAACTAAATGATTTAATATCAACAAAATCATTTACATTCCTATAAAAAAGTGGGTACATAAAATAATATTTGTTATGAAACTGTCTTATCAATAATAAATAAAAGTATTATATTTATAAAAGAACATAGACAAAATCAATCACATACTGACATTTTTCAAATTAATTATTAAAAAATAAATTAAAAAATTTGTTTCATTAAAACTGGACTCGAACGTGTGACCACAAAGACTTGTAGTCGAACACGTTACCCATTAGGCTACTCTACTTTACGAAGTAGCACTTGAATAAACTACTTTTGTATATCATTACATAAGTACTACACAAGCTATAAACAAATTAGACTCACATAATCAGTAATGCATTCAATGCTAATTTAAAGGAATATATATATATAGAATTACGGCGCGTGGAATTATGGCGCGTGACAATTTCAACGCGCAGTAATTCTAACGCGTGGCGGTCACCGCGCGTTGAAATATGACGCATGGAATTACGGCGCGTGACAATTTCAACGCGCAGTAATTCCAACGCGTGGCGGTCACAGCGCGTTGAAATATGACACGTGGAATTACGATGCGTGGAATTACGGTGCGTGACAATTCCAACGCGTGGCGATCACAGCGCGCCGAAATAT